AACCAGGACACAGAAAGCAGTTTGAACACTGAACACATCCCTCTAATCCCCTACACAATTTTATGTTATGCCTCCAAAAAGATCTCTCCTTCTCTCTATCCCCAAAGACAGGAAACAAGAATGAAATCACACAAGCTGAGGTGGGTGCCCAACCAGTGCACACCCAACACAAAGGTCATTGGATGCAATACTGCTGAATCAATGTGTAACAGTATCATAGTTGCCAAGGGTTGTAGCATTCTCCAATGGTGCTTTTGTTATACCAAACCCTAGTTAATGAGCCCTTGTGCTTTCCATTCCTAAGTTCCTCCTGTCATTCTGTACCATCTGAGATGGTATCCTTCAGTTTCAGGGGTTTTGATGAAGCCTAGGAGCTAGGCTCTTATCCACACTGGCTGGAAAACTGATACATAGTTTTCATCATCTGAGAAATACTTTCAAATGACCTTGACAACATTTTAAGAAGTTCTCATTTTTAAAAAGTGATGCCTTTAGTTTAGCTCTTCTGTCCATCACAGCTATATCAACCCTTTCTAACACAAATTTCATCTCCCAAAAACCAATGCCCTACAGTTTATACTAATAGTTTCCAACCTTGGGGTTGTGACCCCATTTGGGATCGCAATGATAAAAAGTGGGGTCATGGAAACAATGGAGGGGGCAGATGAGACTTGGGGCTCAGTGCCACCACTGGGAGCCCCACACCAGGTGCACCACCATGGTGAGGCATCCCCTGACCACCTGGCAGCAGTGAGGGGCACAACTCCATGCTGCTGCCAGGAGGCAGAGGGCCCCTCACCGTGGTGGTGTGATGGGTGTGTAGCTCCTGGTGGTGGCACCAAGCCTCCCTGGCCCCCCACAATGGGTCCCACCCGCTGGCCTGAAGAAGTCCCGGGGGCAGGGCAGCAGGGTGAAGACCCCCAAATCCACAGCAGGCAGCCTGCAGTCACCTCCCATGGGCACCACTCTGGCTGTGCCACCCACAGGGTAGGAGGAAGGGGGAGCTGGGCTCCATGCTCCGCTTTGGCCACAGCAACTACCGCCTCCCACGGGTGGCATCTGGAGCTCAGGCACTGATGGGGAGGCAAGGAGCTGTGGCCCTGTCCCTAGTCCAGCAGGGCCACCCTCCAGCAGGGCTGGGGGGCTGTAGATTAGGAGTGAGGGGCCATGCTGAGGAAATGAGGTCATAAGTGGGGTCATGCTGAGAGAAATGTTAGGAAGCACTGGTTTACCCTATGCCTTTTCTCTTCCCCACACGATAGCCTGTGTGCATACTAATTGCCTTAATCTATTTCCTCAGGATAACTGCCTTAACTTCAATACCTCCCCTCTCTCTCACTCTTTCTTTCACCCCACCTGATGGGACCAGAGGTGGCTCTGAGACTTAAGATCAGCACCTAGAAGAAGTGTCAAGCTACGTGTGAGGAAAAGGAAATGGCAGCTATGGAACAAAAGCAGCAATTGATTAGAAGGGAAATCATTCCTGCCTTTCTCAAGTAATTTGTCCTAAAGTTTCAAGAAGGGCCATGAAATTGAAGAGAGGTGATTTATTTTCAGAGTTTCTTCTGTTTGCCAAAGAGGGCAATTTGTATTTTAAATAGGCCTTTAGGGAAAAAGTATACCACATTAGTGGCTGAGGATACTGTAGAAAATTTCCTACTGTACTGCACTCAGACTCTGGATCCCACATGCTTCCCTTACTAGCTGCCCTGACCTGACACTTGGCCTTTATCTTCCCTCTCAGGACACAGACAGAAGTTACACTTGTTGCATGATCAAACCCTTAAAAGTGCTCTACAGCAGTTCCTTGGCTGGATCTGCTCCAAAGCAAAGGTAGATCCTCCACTCTCCCAACCCAACAGCGAATATCTGTTGGGTCAGAAGGGTCAGTCTGACTCATGATGCTGTATGTAAAGTGCTGAAAATAGCAATATAGTTTTTGGGGAGGTAGCATAAGCAAAGATGATTGCATGAAAAATCCTAGCTTCCAGTAGTGTGTTATGGAGTTGGAGGTTTATTTATTACCTTACCTAGACAATTAAAGAAACCTGTTTTAGGATCATTGCTTATTTTGAACTCGCTTTCTCATGTCTAACCTACTGTAATCTTTTAGACTTTACAAACAATGTTGGATACCCTGGATTTTAATTAACATCAAATATCAAAACAAGCACAGCAGAATATTTTCTAAAAACCAAAAAAAAAAATCCTTATGGCAATTTTAAATGTTATTTACATTTACTTTCTTTAAAAAATTGCAAACTATATTAGACAGAATTCATTATGCAAAAGTATAGGTAGTATTTATAACACGGCTCTAATTAAAGTGCATTCCTCCCCCCTTCCCCCCCTCACACACACACCCCTCCTGGAGCATGTCTATAAATGGAAAGGTTTTTAAATTAGACTCTAGACATAGCCAATGTGACCACATTGGGTGACCCCATGGTAAGTTTCTAATCTAGGTCATCCTAAATTTACCATTTTGTCTTGTGCTTTCAAACTCCTTTGCATAGAACTGGCTTTAAGATGTTTGGAAGGCTCAGAGGAGTTTGGGAAGATTCCCAAATTTGACTAACCAAAACCAAGAAGACCTTTCAAGGAAAAGACCACCAGTCATTGCTGCTTTAAGAAGAGTGGAACTCAGGTGTAAATACATAATCTGTACATAGTGGTCAACAAACGTTTAAGGAACAGTTCCCCAGTTAATTGGAAGGCAGGACAACTCCTAGCAACATTTGTATATTATAGTAAACTTGTCTGGGTATACCACTGACCAACTGAGTTTCATAGGTGTTGTGCTGCTAACACTGATTTCTATTAAGCTCAGGTTGTAGGGACCAATGGTTTTTCAAAGGAAAATCTAAGTTCTACCAATACCATGGCTGTGAAATTCCAAACAACCACACAGGGCAGGTCAAAGAGCAGGGGAATCCACATCCCAGGAAGCCCTCTTTTCTGAGCAAGCCAGCCAAAAACTTAGCGTAAGAGAGTATTTTATTTAAGTTAACTTCTGGCATCCTGAATTTTTCTGTTCCAGGCCTCAGGTAAGGACAGCATCCTGAGACCACACTTGTTGATAGGACAGGGTTATCCACCAGATCAACAGGAGATGTAACATGCTTGTTCACTCTACTGTGCCTCTCCCTTGCATCAATATAGCTGATCCCCAAACACTCTGCAAAGGTCAGTGCAAACACCCTGAAATGGCTCCTCTGGTTTTAAAACCCTCACCTGCAAAATCTCAGAAGGCTCATAGCTTACGTACAGATTACCCAATGTGTCAAGGAAGTTATTAGGAGATTGGTGACACAAGAGTGGTTAAAGGAACAGCAGCACATAGACAAGAGCATCTCATCACTTTTATGTCAAACAAAGAGCATATCAAAGACTAACTGCTGGTTTAGTGATACTGGATGTCCATACAGATACGGCAGCAGCAAATTTCCTCTGATACCGGCTAGGGCAACAGTTGACAGTGTTACTGAGCAGCAGGCCAAAATGACCCAGCTCAGCTTCTAGGTGCGCCAGTGCTTCCAACCCATCCACTGCCACCACCACTTCTCACCACCCAGCCCTACCACTGAAAGGCTGCCGAAACCCCCCAACTCAGTAGGCTGTATCCAATGGCTCCACAGACTGGATCCAGCCTATAGACCATAGGTTGCCAGCCTGTGCGTCACAGAGCCACCAAGACACTCGAGAGGATGCTCTGGCTCTCCTGACGACAGGTGAAGGGGATGCTGTGTACAATGTTCTGGACGGAGTGACAGGGAGGAGAGGTGGATGGAAGGTCCCCTATGGAGGGAGCTAGCTGCAACTGAGGGGAGGCTGACCTCACAAGATTTTCACAGAAATTTTATGGGGGCTCAGTGGTAGTCCAGAAGTACAGTAAGGGTTTGGGCAGTTTTGTTTTACCATATTCTGTTGTCAAAGCATGTGATCACTTTTTCTTTCTGTATAATAAAACCTTCTTTTTTTTTTGTTGCTCAACTGAAGTGCCTATGGTAAATTGTGCTTTCTAGGCAAGTTAACTTGGGCAAACCAATTTAGCAGATGGAGGACCAGTAAACTTACATAAACCCTGGGTATATTTCCAGGAGCACCTGCTGGCTAGAAGATTCTTCCAGTCCTATCGAATGCAGGTCAGTGCTGTGACCCACACAATTGCAACCTTCATATTTTCTTATTGTACTTAAAATAAAGCCTCAACAATCCTCTTCATAGAATATGCAGCAGTTTCCTTGCTCAGCAACACATGCCACTGAACACATTGCCCCAGGGCTCCCCTCTTTGCTCTGACTGCCCACTGAACACACAGTTCAGTTCATCATCTGTCCTCATATTCAAAATTTTCCATGGGATTGGCCCAGGTTATCAGAGAAATCGGGTCTCTCAAGACAACTACAGTTGATTAGGAGTGAAACTCTTTATCAACCTGGGGTTCCACAGGTACTCAGGTTATTCCCGCAAGTGTTCAGACCACAGGCCTTGCCACTTTTGGAAGTAAATGGATACCTTCATTCCTTGTGCATAGCTGCCTTTCAGGATGTCCTTCAAACACACAAATACACCTGCCTACACATATGGGAAAAAATCTGTTAAAGATACCCTGTAATTCAGTTTTTTGCTACTACTAGCTGTGAAAGCAATTAAGAGGAGAGAGAGATTTTGTTACTGCTATATCTATGAACATACCAGAAGTGCTTTATGTTAAGCTGTTGGGACAGGAGGACCTAGACACACCGCTTTATTTCAAGGGTGGGTCACTAACTGTAGAAAATTTAAGGATTTCTTTTCAAAGTGGCATTTCATGTTTAACCTCATTTTCAATATTCAGTTTTTAATCTTTTACTCATATCCCAAAAGGGAGGAGAAGACAAGTACTTTAAATAAAGGACTTTAAAAGGAGAGCTGAGAAAGACAGTTATACAGGGCCTGGGACATTTTAGAGCTAAAATGCTGACTGTTATCTTGGGTGGTTCTCAAATAGTACTTACGCAAGCTGGGAACTGGCTCACGACTGCCAGTACTCCTTTAACTTCTGACCCTTCCTGGACGTCAGATGGGAATGATTTTTAGTCTATCCGGTCTGGACTGAATTTGATCCAGAGCACTAGGACTGAAAAAATAAGTTTATTCCCTTAAAAGCTCTACATACTGCATGCTTAAAATTTAATGCTCAGCCCTTAGAGCTATATTCCTAGCTCAGAGCTGGTAAGAACCAACATGTTTTCTCTTTAATCCTTTCCAAAGACACATTCCATAAATCGTTAGCACCCTTGCCAACCACTCAGTCTCTTAGCAAGCCCACATACCAGCTTTAAAGTAAGCCCCTCTAAAACCAATGCAACAGTCCTGTGGGTTAAGTTTATATTATTTCCAGATTCATGTAGCTGCAGGCTTCTTTTTAAAGTTGCAAATGATAAGTCATCTCTTTGTTGCCAGTACTTTTTTTTTCTTTGTTTAAACATTGTTCACAAATACATTTAGTGAAAAGCAGACTGCACTAGCTGTACATGCTGTAGTGACGGCAGTACAGTATGCATTTTCAGGAAAAAAAAAAATTCTTTCTTTGACAAGTCAGTCCATTAATAACTCCAACATAAATACCACTGCTTAGAAACAAATGCAAGCACAGAGATACACACAATCTGTTACATTTGCACAGCAATTTTCATTTCAAAGGATACCAAGGATACATGCTAGTAAAAGCTCACTCATGAGCTGGCCTATTACACCATGTAGGAGTGTGAGAAATCTCCTTATTCCCTTATGCAAGCTACAGCAGAGAAGAACAAGTGCCAGTACCCCACCTTCTGAGCAGGTGGGCAGCAGCAGGGACTGAAGGGAGCAACAACTGCTACCTTATCAAATCCCCAATACAGTTGAAATAGCACAATACTGAAAACAGAGACTGAACTGTGACAGTAGTTCCTTACTCTTGGCACCCTGCCCAGTGCCAGTCTGCCTGCAAGAGATTATTTCACCCACCATTAAAATGCTACCACCTCATGGAGACAGCATGGTAGCTGTCAACAGCATGCTGCAGCAACAAGCAACTGTTTAGAAAATTAAAGATGTTATCCAGAAGGAAATATTCTAGATGTTTTAGCCCCTTTGAGCCTTAAAAATAATAATCTAGGGCTGTATGAACACTTTAGCTAAGTTAAACTGCAAAAGTATTTATTAGGAAGAGGTTTGCTGAACACATAATTTGACCCCAGAAACTCTTCTCAGTCTAAATTTTGACATTCCCTTGTCTTCTGATCTTGGATCAACCACTGTACCTTAATGCTCAAGTCGGTGCTTAAACATACCTTAGTAACCCAGACAAAAGTTTGAACAACTCTGAATTCATCTGCTTCTGATCACTAGGAAGTATCAGGGGTGAAATATTACATTTCAAGAAAAGGACTGAACAGGCAATATAGAAACAGTAAACAAGTTCTTTCATTTCCAAAAGGGCACAATATCCCCAACTGCAGAGAGCAAAAAACACAGGGAAGAAAAAAAAAAAAACCTATGTTTACATTCAAAATGTGATTGTGAGAAGAGTGTTTGGCAAGATACAGAATACACAGGGGCAATGCAATAAAACTGAAAAGGAAATTAGCAGAAAAAATGACAGGCAATGCCATAAAAGGGAAGCACATAACAAGCATGAACTGTTGAAGCAAAAGTGTTTCAATGGAACAGAACACTTCATGACCACACTCTAAACTTGCCACATTGTAACACTTGAAAGTCTCTCCTTTAAGAAACACTTGCGCACTTATTTAGCACTACAATCTTCCCTGAGCTGTCCTCCAGATATCCCAATGTTCATTTCTCTCCCTCCCCCCCGCCCAGGGTGGGACAGTCTATGACTGCTAGACTCCACTGCTCCAGCTGGTTCACAGACCAAACCCCTCCCCTAGACAGTCCAGCCCCTCTCCACAGCCCCAGGGGTGTGCAGCTGTTAACCTCCTCGACCCTAAGCACACAAGGGGAAATCCACCTGCCAGTGCCCTGTAGGGCACATCAAAGCCAATACCTGCAGCTTCATGCCTGAGGCTGCAGGCATAGGGCACTAAAGTGCAGCAGGGTGCAGGGGAATCAGGGGAAAGTTTACCTGCCCCTCCACAGCACTTCAGAGCCTCATGCCTGCAGCCCCGCACACAGGGCAGTGGGTACTGGTTTCAGCTGCTCTAGGGGAAGAGGGGGAAGCTCCCCCCTGATTTACAGTCCTTGCCATGATGGCAGGGCTTCCCATAGCCAGAGCCCCAGCAGTGTCCTGGGAACTCCACCAGTGCAGCCAGGGCTGGGGCTGTGGCCACAGTGGTGGGGCCTCCCATGGTGACAGACACAGCAGCTGCCACCAACCCTCCCCCTGCCACTATCAGAGATTAGCCTGACCTGGCCTTCACTGTGAACAGAGTCCCCAGACCCCCTCACAACAGCACCTAACCCTACCTTGCCAGCACCCACTCCACAAGCACCCTATCTGTGCTGGAACTGAGTCTCTCCAGAGGGTTAACGATCCACTGGGCTGCTGGAGGGGAAGTTGATGGGCTTAACAAGACAGGACATCTTCTATAGGTCTACTGTCTGATAGCCTGGAAATAGAGAGGGAGTGTTAGGTGGGGAGATAGTCCCCTGGGGCCACCAACTAATCAACCCTAACCTGTTCCCTGGGCTGCTGTCACCTATTTCCAGGCAGACTGTGCAGCCTGCAAAGCATGGGAGGGATGCATGCACTAGGACCTCCTGGTTGGGTACCATTGGCACTGCAGTCTGGCTGTGGAGCAGGCAGCTAGCAATCTGAATGCCTGTGCACAGTTCTATCAATAGGGTTTTCAACCACCTAAACTGAACTGCTTAATTTCCACCTGTTCATCTGAATGCTTGCCCACTGACATTACAAATAGATTCCTTTTGAATTGGGAATTTGAAACACAACCGCAGAAAACACCAACTCAAACCACTGCAAAGTGACCCCACTAAGCTACTCTCAAATTTGGGTACCACAGGACCAGATCGACTCTCACTCATGCCAGTTTTACACTGGTGAGGCTTTCAGCCTTCAGTGGAGCATCTTATGATTTATACAGAGCAGAGTCTAGACTTATAACTGTAAATCTACATCTCTAGCTAAAGTAAAGCAGTGTCATTCAGCTAAAATGGTGTCTTCATTGCTCTGTGTAGCTGAATAAGCATCAAATTATCCTTTGAAACAGGGAGGAATTGGTGCTGACAGCTCAGAATAGAACTTGGAGACCTGGCAGCTTCTTTCAATAGATTGTGTATAGAGTTTATCTACAAAAAGCCAAGCACAAGCTCAGCTGCCAGCCTATAAGTCCATGCTCTGACCATGAAACAGTTACACATACACTATTTTTATTTTAACAAGCCAGGCAAGTGTATAATGAACCTTGTGGATAAATCAGAACCTTAGTACAAGAAGATTCCAGGTGAAAAGAGGGAGGAATTTGTGCATGTTGAAAAACAGTTACAGCACCAAAATACTAAAAATCTTTTTTCTAGTTTCCTGAATTCTGTCATAACTGACATTTACCCATCTTTTTAGCCCAGAACAAAGCAGTGACAGTCAATGTCAGGGCAAAAGAAGCTGTCAGGGTAGTGGCCAGTATCCTGGAAGTACAAAAGGAAGGAATGAAAGCACATTTACTTGTGTTATGTAATATTCTTCAAGGCCCTGATTCAGCAAAGTACTTAAGTGCATGCTTAGGCACTTTGAGGCATCTTTTAAAAAGCCACATACTTGCTTCCTCCAAGGATCTGCTAGACGAGTCTGACACCAGACACCTTAGGGTAAAGGAAGAAGCTGCATAGTCTTTTGCATGGAAATAAGCATACGTGAAAAAGCCTTATGAGACTAAAGCTCCCTACTCCCAGTGCCTGCAGCTGAGCACTGGAACGCTTTCTGGATAAGCTGCTAGCTGGAATAAGGCTATTCCCCTTCTATTTACCTTAAATGGTGCGTCTGACTCTTTATTTGGGGGACATGCCTTAGTTACTTACTGAATGTTTATCTAAACTTTAATCATGTGATTAAAATAACCATGTTATAAATCTCAATAAATCAAGGGTCCTGGTCCTGGTCTCTCACACACTGATGTAAATGCAGAGCTAAAAGGGATCAGAGTCTAGCCCAGGACATGCATTTATCTCTTGTACAAGTATGCCCATCGATCACACCTCGGTCTGCTCTTGTTAATAGATGCTGGACACAGAGTGCAAAAGCTGTCAGCCTGTAGGAAGGCTATATAAAATATTACTAAGCCACAATGGGTAGCAAAATCAGGAAGGAGGAGAGTATTGTAGCTGACACGCTGTGGTAGGCCAGGGCTGAATTAGGTTCACAAGGCCCAAGCCTTCCACTGTGAAGACATCAATGCAACTATGCGCAGGTCACTGCCCAAAATGGGGAAAGTAATATACCCCCCACCACCACCTTCCACACACCCCTTCTCTATTCATAGAGAAGCCTCCTTGGCTCAGCACCAATGTCTAAACTACATATACGTACAACATGTACCATAATAGGGTCCCAGTCTCAGTTGGGGCTCGCTGGTGCCAGTGTAATAAAAATGCAAATATTCACACACAAAAATATAGAAAAGGCTCCCACAGAGGCACTGAATTCTATGGTTCGTACATTTAACAGTATATTTCATTGCCAACTCTATAAAGCAAAGATTGCTACATGGAGGATTAATGATAGCTTGCTTTAATCGCACTACATTTTGATCCAGCTTCTTCATTCTAACTTGTATTTCAGCTTTTCCCTAGTGACATGACCCAACCTAAAATAAAACTGCCAAGGCTGCTAGCCATTTTATAGCAAGGCAACAGGGCATGAACACCCATTGCCTTCTTTATTTAATTGGAATTCTCAAATGGATGGTTGATTGTTTTTAATGCATCTCCCTTCTATTGTTCCTGAAGTATTGTTCTGAGCACAATGAATTGGTGGGAGCAGAGGGAAGGGTTGAGATGCTGAATGGAAATATTAACTGAGAGCTTTATAATAGCACCACATGACAGAGGGAACTAGCATTTGCTTTTACAATCTACTGAGATAGACATTAAAATGCATTAAATCTGTATCTCTTGTATTTATTTTGCACAGGCAAGAACACTACATTTACCCCATCCAGCACATTTGACCTTATCTCACACAAAGTTTGCTCAATTCTCACTTAATGCTTACTGATAACAGGCAATACAAAATGTGCTTTTCGTCTTCTCACAGAGCTTTCAAAGGACAGGGATTTCTATTAGTGCTTAGGATTCCCAAGAGTAAACCAAGAACTCATTGGGCCAAGCACTCCATCAATTTGAAATAATAACAACAACAATCTACCCCCCACCATCTAAAAGACTTGCAGCATGTAGCAAGAGAACAAGAACTGAAATCAAACCCATCGCCTATATATCATACTACTGCATACAACTACCTCCCAGACCGCTAGGAACACAAGAAAATATACATTACCTTTTCTAACCAAGTTGCATATGTGCAGTAAACACAGTGGATGGATGTGACATTGAGAATGATTGTGGCCATCACTGGGAAGCCTAGAGCATCAGGTAATTTATATATGCTACAGTGGTCTGGCCAGCGCTGCAACATCAAATAATCAGCGAGTCCAACCGCTTACAGCAAGCAACACTATCCCACTAGCTACAGTGTACTGGGGCTCTTGCAAAGTATATGTCTCAGGGTGCACTGCGCTGGGCTTTTAGATTGTATAAACTAATGAAAAAACAAGGAGAACGTTTAAAAAGGTGATGATTGTGGAGGAAAGCTGGGCATAGCAAGCAGTTCTTCCCTTGTGCTAAAGAGGAACAGTGTAGAACAGGGGCTGTCAGCCTACAGCCTGCAAGCTGGATCTGGCCTGCAGAGCTATTTGATCCAGACCAAAACCTGGGGCTTTAGCAGCAGTCAATAGTGGGGGGCTTCAGCGGCAGGCACCCTCTCCCTGCCATCACCCACTGAAAGAGAAGCACCAGCTGTGGCAGCTCCTGCTACGTCACCACAGAGAGCAGAAGCAGTCGGGGCAGCTAGGAGCTAGCTAGCACCTTTTCCCCACCCATCTGCCTCTGACCCAAGTCTGATCATTGCAGCCTGGAAAAGGGTGCTGCTGCAATAGAAGATATACAGACTGAGAGTCCTCCGCAAAGGTCTCTCCTCCCTCTCTCCTTCATGCAGTCAGTTGGGTTGAGCTCACAAATGCATAGAAATGGGGTGCATGTAACAAGCCAAAACACAGGCCTCTCAGCACATAACATCACCCCCTCTGCAAGCTCAGTAAGGCTTTTTCCCATGGCAGCACCACCCACTGGTGATGAAACAGTTAAACATCTGCTGTATTTTGAACAATAAATCCATCCAGTCTCTCTCCATCTTCCCATATTACAGGAACCAGCACGTTCGACTCAGTGGTACATTTGAACGGTTTTGCATTGCTAGAGACTCTCACATACACACGGACAGTTGTCTATTTGCAGCTGACCTGAACTGTCCAAACAAAGCACAGCCACTTCTTCCCTCAGGGAACACACATCAGGATTTAACAAAAGGCATTTGGAAATAATCTAAGCACAAAAGACAGTCAGCTTCAAGCCACTGGCTCATCTAATACTACACACACCGTCTGGATCAGATCATTTTCCTCAGAACTGCGTTCCTTATTCAAACACAAAACAAAACTGTTCACCTGACCAATTGCTTTTTTCCCCCTCTTGCAGAGACTACCATAAAATTGCAGTAACTTTCCTCTCAACCTCAGCACTCTGCCCTTCATAAGACTCACCTGATTCACCCATCACTCCCCCACAGCAGAATCTAAAACTTGAAACAAGGTTGGACCTTAAACGGGTAGATATAGGCTCTAAAACCTTGCCTGCCCAGGGTGATCTACAGGCTAGGCCCTCATCAGGACACCATATTTCCTTCTTTTTAGAGCAGCTGTCTTTCTTGACCATTACCTCTACCAGCCTCTGGGATCTGTTGCAACCTCTGCCTCTTGGCCTCTCCTCCCAAACCATTATTTCCCTTGGTCTGCAGATCACTCTGACACTCCCACAAACTCTTTTCCCTGTGTTCTTCATTCCCCAAGGGTCAGACCCATCTGACATGCCCTCTTCCCACACGTAGAGCACTCCCACCATCTCTTCCTCCCCAGCACTTGTTTCCAGGCCAGCCATCCCTTGAGTCCACACTGTGCCTGGGAGTAGTCACACCTTGAGTATGGGATTCCCACATCCCAAACAAGGCCCAAAGACATCCCTTTCTTGCTGAGATTTATGGGCCTCCCATGATTGGGCCTTGTCCTGGACTGCCTACAATAACTCCTACAATCTCTGTGGATCCTAAGGAAATCATAAGAGGACAGATTGGGTGCATCCCCATGAGCATGCACACACTACACATATATGCTGCTCTGCTAATCTGCACTACAGCAGGGTGTTTTTGACATCAGGACATCCAGCCTCCCCTACCACACCTGGGGCAATTTGCTGCATGCCGGAGCATGCATGCAGAGGCGTACCAGGGGACAAATGGCAGTGGCACAAGTATGTTCTGCTGCTATTTGTCCCACAGGGAACACACGCCCCTGCACGTGCATGCTCATGGAGACATGCCCATTGGGTCTACTGTTAGTTCACCAGATACTCCAGTATCTGCTCCATTATCTTCTAGACAGGAGTAGGTCTCTTGATACTAACAGAGGTATAGCAGGGCAGGCCCATGCCTGGAGCAGCCACAACATGGAAGCAGTACCAGCTGCAGCTACTTTTTGGCTGGTCCACAAAGGTGGCACATGGGGTTGTTACCCCAGTTGCTCTCCTCCCCCCCCCCCCCCC